ACTTGCCGGTTAAACATCATTATCGACATTTTCGACCTCATACATATAACATGTGATCAATAAATTTAATGGAGCTGAACTGAGTTTCACGCAGTGTGACCATTATGCATTTTACTGAAGTCTGACCTATCAGGGTTAAGTAGGAGTTGATGTTGTCATCAATCGCTTCGATTATTTCGCCGCTATCTTCCATCATATACTTGAAAGTTTTCATCGTTCCACATGCAAAAAAAAGTAATTAGTGGAGTAGTAGAGTAAAGATCTAATTACAAAATTCATGAAATAGGCGGTGAAGGATTGGTATAAGAAGATATTTTTCTTTAAGTGGGATGCAAAAATATTTAAATCTAATATCTTCCTGAACAATTTTAATTTTCTAAACACCTAGTCTACTTCCAACTAATATACCAAGGTTAGGATACGATTCAAGAAGTTCTTTGAAACAGCTCTCTATTATTTGAAACCCACTAGCATATCTTTTCCAGATTACTGTTATAATATTTATGACTTTTAAAGGGCCTTTCGTTTCACTGAAACAAAATTAATCCTTTTCCTTTGTGCAATTTATGATAAACGAATCGTATCTTGTCTCCTTTTTCATTTCTAAATGTTTTCTTTCTTCAATGCGGAAAAAAGCTGTTGTAAAATATAATGTAAAACGTAAAAATAAATAAATAAATAAGTAAAATGTAATTGTCGAATCTGTAAGCAGAAAATTCATCCAAGGGACCTATTTCTTTGGCGCATGCAGGCAAATGCAACAAACCATGCACGTTAAATCTTATTAAATGATTGCCATATATGTTTCCAAATAAATTAACAAATTAATTTAGAATTTCTTGGACATAATTTTTTTCGCTTTCGAAAGACTTTTTACACGAAGGAATTCTTATACTAACATGTAGTAAAATAAATGATAAAACAATGAATTTTAAGGAAGACGTTGACAAAATAAACTGCGCATACAGGACAGCAATAATGTTAAATAGGAGAACAGACGAGCAGAAGTACACTTAAATATAAATGAGTTGAAATCAGTGTGTGTTTTTGTTATATTTTCTTTTTTTGATGTTTAATGTAAGTTATGTTTTGCAGATAAAAATTGTTATACCAACGAATTGCAATTGTTATAGTTTTTATTAACATACATGTGTGCCTAATTGTTTGTTTTTTATGTTTTGTTTTCATAAACATCAGACTCCCTGAGAAAGATGTGAAAAATATCAAGGAATGAAACCGAAACTCAAACCGAAACCGTAACCGTTTAAAACCGTTTCGTTTTTCAAAACCGAAACCGAAACCGTAACCGTTATCTAGATCTGAAAAGGAACGATACCGAAACCATTTCAATCACAGGTTTCAATCGGTTTCCAGAAATTTACAAAAATAATAAATAAAAATGTCTTTGAAATAAATGATTTATTTAACCAAAATCAGCAACATTTTGCTAAAATTCTTGTTAAGTAGTAAATAAGTATGGCAAGGTAACTTTTCGCAAAAATCTGCTGATGACTTTGTTGTTGTGAATCGATAATCGATTAATTATATTTAAGTAGTTTCTTTCCCGTACGCAATGCGAGATCCCGCGTGTGCCCAAAATAGCCCAGAAATCATGCCTGTACTCAACAAAATGGGTAATAGAGAGCGAAAATTCGAGCGTATTCGATCGTAAGTGTATTCTTCTTCCTGCCCGAAACAGCCCGAAATTTTCTCCGAGTAAAAATGGATAAAGTGTCAAAGTGCATATCAGCTGTATTGTGTTTACATGTTGCCTGCATTTACTTGGTGCTTTTAAGGAAAAGTGAATGGCCTGTTGATGTATTTTCAATCTATGTACTTAAAATCAAATTTGTGAAACCAAAATTCAATTTCCAAGTGTTTGCATTTAATACCCCTGCCAGCCACGGCTCACTACTTTCCCCTAAAATTCAAACGATTTACAAACACACTCACAACTTTTTAGTCATCTCACCAACACACTTACAAATTTTTTCGTCGAACTGTCAAAAAATGTGCCTTTGTTAGAGCTACATACCCGATGAGAATTCGTACTCTAACAAGAATTCTATGCGTTAGAGCGAGCAAGTTAGAAACATCAGAGTTTTTAAGACAGTATACATACTGTGAAGAAATGTCACTACGAAAACTTTGAAGGTAAGAATACGTATTTATTTAATTATAATGTAATTTTTTCTTTTAGATTGCAAAACAGCAGCGACTTAGTCACATTCTAAAGGTATGTATTGAGACTTTTAATATGTTTATAAATTTTAATTGATATTTTTGCTTGTTTACAGATTCACTATCAGCACCTTCAACGCTTGTATCTTCATCGCCAGGAGCACCACCAGTACCCTCTACCCTCAGCTCCTTCATCGCCAGGAGCACCATGAGTACCTTCCGCCCTCAGCACTTTCAACGCCAGGAGCACCTTCAAAGTGTAGGTCCAACTTGTCAAATTTTGCAAAGTTGTAAGAAAACTTAATTTTTCTGAACCACCATAAATTATTTGCAACCGTTAATATATATCAAAAGAAAGGTAAACCGATTACCTTTCTTTTAATTATAACACCGTTAAAATCGCTTTACGTTTTCATAAAAACCTTGCAACTTTTGTAAACAGCTATATTTAAGCAGAGGAAAAGTGGTAAAATTTTGCAAAGTTGTAACAAAACAGATTTTTTGTGAACTAGTGTAAATGGTTTGCAACTGTTAATATATATCAAAAGAAAGGTAAATCGATTACCACATATGTATGTAAAAATATATTTATTAATGTTAATTACAATTTTTATTCATAATATTGATTAGCTATGTATATTAGGTAATCAATGCATTTTGAAAATAAATTTTGCAAAATAAAAATCAAAAATTTTTGGATTTTTTATTTAAAGTTTCTAAGTTTATTTTGAATTCGCTGTGAAGAAAATGCAACCCTGCGCTGGCTGAAAGGGGCAATGCTATACGAGTGCAGCTATATGTTTTCCTTAGGAAGTATCTGAATGAGTGCGACAGTGATGCAAGGCTCACACGTACAGGGGGAAACTGGTGAAAATCTGCACACCGCCCATACAAAGTTCACTAGATTTTTCACCAGTTTTGAAGTGAACGAAACCCGCGGTTTCACCAGATTTTTCACCACTTTTGGCTGGCAGGGACCATGTTTTGACCGACAACCAAACCATTTTTCCTTCATTTTCTTTTCATTTACAACCTTTAACTTTCATTCTTATTTTGCTTTGGCCAGGCAATTAACAATAAATCCGATATGGCGTATTAAAGATGATAAAATATGACTTCCACTTCGATAAATAATCGAAAAAAACTAGTGAAGACACCGATTGGAATGAGTGGAAAATGAGTTTTCAAGTAGTTTTCAGCGAAAACTGGTTTTCGTTTAACATATTTTATATGGACGAAAACACAAGTTTTATGTCGAAAACCAGTTTTAGCAACGAAAACATGTTTCCGATGTCGGTCAGAACATGGTATAAGTGACAATAACAAGAACAACGTGAATCAGCTGTTTCTCGATTTGTGGGCACGAAATGTGGGTTTTTGCGTTTCCGTACTTCTGAACTTTGTTCCATTTTTGAAAGAAAATGTTTCTCTTATTCTCTAATTACCAAATCCGGTCCGGATTGTTAGGGAAAGAACCTAATGTTGATATTATCAGTGAACTGTAATTTTAGATTTTCTTTCCTCAAAGTTTAAGACATTGGGCCATATGCATAAAAACTAGCAAAAACTACTTTGTGGGGTTTACTACCTAATAGTGAAAGTGCGACAGTGAACACTTATTTTCATATGCATAAAGCTTTTTAAGTCAACACTTTCCTATATTTTCGAAAATAGTGATTGCTTTTTTGACAATATAAAAATTTTAAAATATTTAAATTTTTATGTCAAATTTTATTTCAATTAGAGCTAAATTACAAAAAAATAGGTGGTGCTTTTTTTCTATAGATAATAATATGGATCCTTACGGCGAATTGTGGGAAGTAGAGGCATTAACAGAATCAGTTGCCGACGAGACATCTGAATCAACATTTTCCGAGTCGCTCTGCGGCGGTCATGACCCCAAAGTAGGAAAACCTCAAATTGCACGAGTAGCTGATCGGTGTTCTTGAAATATTTATCCAAATATGGAAGAATTTTAGTCTCCAAAAGCCAAACACCCTCAGTGAAAGCTAAAAAACAAGAAGCGACTAAGCTTATTTCCCGTCATCTTTTAATTGACAAGGGTATTGAGTATACGCCGCAGCAGGTCAGCAAAAAGGTTCAGAACTTGAAAGCTAAGCTTAAAGCAAAAACAGACGTCAACCGAACAGGAAATCGCAAGATCAATCTAAGCGATGGTGAAAAATATTGGCGGATATCATGAACGCTAAAGATAATCCAGCAATAAACCCTATAAAATGTGAGATTGTTGCTCGTTGTACATATTTTTTATATCCGTTAGATGCACATTTTATACTAGGTGGCGTAGCTATTGCTAATAAAACTATTGGTCAGTCGGGTGAAGAAGATTTCCAAAAAGAGATATCCGATGAAGACAGCGTTTCTAATTCGCCTAAGGATTTTCCAACATCTTCACGTAAGCGTCCTATCTTCAATCATCTGATGCGAAAATACCGGAAAAGGTTCGTTGACATTAGTTGTTTGCATAGATACCTCTGCCTCGATCCTTTCCATATAAACATATTTTAAAGATTCTAGAAGGTTGGAAACTGATGAAACGAGAGGGTTGTCCAATGTGCTTCTACAAAGGTTGTTCTATTGCGTCAATTACAAGTGTTCGCAAGAAAAGAAGAGCTCAGGAAGAACAGCTCAAGGTAGCAAAAGCTTCGCACGCAGAAATACGCTAAGGGACATTTTCTCCTGCAACCTTTAACTTTAAAGCACACCTTATATGTACATATATAAAGATGCATTAAAACTTATAGTTGTGTCTAAAGTAAAGCATTTTATTATCGGTTTAAATTGATTTACAGCCAAGAAACATACATACGTCAAAACAGATATACAAATGCTTTACTTCAGACATAGCTATATATTTTAAAGCAACCTTTAAATATAAAGTGAGCTTTAAATTAAAGGTTAGTTGAGAAAAGGGCCGTAAGTGAATCTCTTTTTATATGATACTACATACATATGTACATACATAATCATTTTCAAGAAAACAACCAGTATTAATATATTGCAATAATAAGAAATGTGAAATTTAATTCGAAATGGAGTTTATGTAGCGCGCAATCTCATTTCTTCTCAGTATACCTCTTTTTCTTATGGTGCTATTTGCTTGATCATGGATCGGAAAGGCTAAGCCGGTTTCAAAATTGGTGGTCTCTTTTGGCTCATCAAAATCAGGTTCTTTTAGATACTTCGCTACATTGTGTAAAACGAAGCACGCAGCTATGATTGTAGGTATGCGATTAGTTGATATTCGAATTTTCGACTGCAAAATTGTAAATCGCCTTTTTACTTGACCGAACACTCGCTCAATTATAACCCGCTCTTTGCAATGAAGTTTGTTATACTCCATTTGCGAAAAGCTCGTGGTATTACGATATGGGATCATCAGCCATGGAGTAATGGCATAGCCCTCATCGCCCAACAAAATTGCACCTGCAGGATTTTCATCTAAAAGTTCACGAACTATGGAATTTTTCCAAATTCTCGAGTCGTGCACGGATCCTGCCCTTCTGCAATCAAAGCTTGTTATCTTCTCATTCGCATTACATGTAACCTGAACAATAAACGATGCTAATCCCTTTCTGTTAATGAATTCGTCCCCATGGATGCTTGGCTTTAATATTAGTACATGAGTGCAATCCAATGCTCCGATTGCATTTGGAAACTTTAATTTTCTTTGCCATTCTGTTTTTGCCAAGTTCATTTCCTGTTCGGTTTGAGGAATCTTTATCCAATCGGATGACTTTTTTACTATTGAACGAGAAACTTCCCAAACGGTCCTGGAAACGGTCGTTTGGTGGATTCCAACATCTTCACTAACGCCTACCTTATAGAAAGCAGCTAAATTCGGGTTAAATATGCAAATCCATTAAAGTCAATATTTACTTGGAAGCCCGGATCACCAATGTACCGCAAGAAAGTCTGCATTTTAAGCTCATTTGATTGGGTCTCGTGACTTTCTGGCAAGAAATTAGATGAAAGCCAATGTACATTCTCCCGCGAAAACCGATAAAGCGCCCGATATGTTAAATCTTCCCCAGTTCGTCTCTTTTTGAAAGTCTTCTTTCTATTTTCAAGATTCAGGAACATCGCCATGATATGGAATAAAAACGTAGTCTACCTTTACCCACACTTAAAAATCAAATAGCGAACACTTATTTTTTCAAGTGATTACAATTTTTATGAATTTTAATTACAAGCATATACTTTTTCGAAATTGAAGTAGTAAACTCAAGTAGTGATTACTATACAGCGCAATGCTTTTATGCATACCGATTTTGAAACTTTAAAGTGATTGCTATTGAAAATAGTGTGCATTAGTTTTATGCATATGACCCATTGTGATTTAAATAATATCAACAAAATTTCTGTGAAAAACCGAAACCGGAACGAAACCGAAACCAAACCCGAAATATAGTTTGAAGAACGAAACCAAAACCGAAACCGAAACACTTGGCAAAACCGAAACCCAAACCGGAACGTTATTTTGAATCGGCCGAAAAGCTCCTTAACCTACCCTATAGATAAAACAAATCGTCGGAAATGATATTTTTTAACACAAATATTCCAGAATACAATAAAAATTGACGGAACTCTGTTGATTTCCAATTACTAAATTCATTTAGGTCTCTACAAACTGGAACCCAGGAGATTTGCATATTCGTTGCATTTGTAAATTCACAGCAATAAAATGCACACGGTTGCCATGGCAGCAAGCAAAAAATTTGCAAATGCAATTCCAACTGCAAATCCAAGACCTTTTCCATAACATCCTGAACAGCTCTATTGTCTTGTCCCTTTGAAGTTGAACTATGATGCGCCTGGTCAGATCTGTTTTTGAGAGACAAGTCAGTTCGTAACTTACCTATCTCTTTTGAAAAGGATACCCGCTTTTCTATATACATATTTCCTTACCTGGAAACATTTGGGACAAATATCTTTGCCATTATGGTCCTGAACTCCTGAAACAAAAGCTCGTGCTGGTGAGTCGCAAATAAACACTCGCACATCAAATTTTTCTAAATTTTGAAACGAACCAACCTTAAAGCCACTTTGTTTTAAATAAATAATTTCCTCACAAAAATCGTTCATGAAGTCACTTCCACTTAATGGATTTTGTTTTCCTGAAAAGGAAGCAATTAAAAATGGACTTGCGTTTGAGTAACCAACTATACTACCTAGAATGTGCCACAATATTAATTAATAAAATTCTCTCGATTCGAAATGTGACTGGATGCCTAAAAACAAAAATTCGCCGCCTGGAATCATTTGGATATTATTACTTTTTTAAAGTGGTTTCGAGAAGAGTTTTTACCGATAAAGACAAGTCACTAACACCAATTTTTCTAAGTGTACGCAGAAAATCATTGAGCGCCACTTGTGACACATCATTTTTAATTGCCCACAATTTTATTTCACTGGATTTATCGATACTGGAAGGTTCAGAGGAAGAAGAATCGGACTGACTTTCCGGAGTCGATGTGAAAACTGAGCTATCATCCTTGCAAGAAGAACTCTCAAAACTTCTTCCGCAACTTGGACGCTACCTTCATCCAAATCTGCCTCGGCAAATTTGGACATTTTTGAGTAAATCAAGGAGCTCCGCTCAAACTGCTTTTTTTCTTTGTCCATGAGTTTATAAAAACTTTTTCCTTTCATTATTTCTAATCACACTTTGTTTTAGCGCTTTACATATGTATACGCAATCGAACTTCCTCTGCTGAGTCTCACTGAGAAAAATGATGACTACCCCCCATAAATTATACATATGATAAGGTTATCAGGCAAAAAAAAAATATTCAAATATGAAAAGTTTTATGAAAATTGCGTGAGGATACTTTTTAATGTCAACCAACATAAATCAAAGAGCGCAAATTTGTTTTAGTCGATTTCTAACTATAGACATATCAAGAAAATCAAGCAACATGAAGATTGCGAATAATATTCACATTAAATTACTTGATTTGAGAATTCGCCAACACTATTTTTGCCTGTTTTGTACAATTCTTCTTCTTCTAAAAATGTCTTCATTCCAACATCCCTATACAATACACATGTGTGAGTGAATACGATATAGAATTAAAATAAAAGAGGTTGATATTGTTTACTCTCTTTTGATAAACACATCACATGTATTGCACGTGTATTTGTGTTTGTTGCACATGTGTTAGAGACTCGGTCATTGGATTTTTACAGAGTCAGTCTATTTTTATTTCTTAACTATAATTGATGGAAATGTTTTATTTACGCAACTAAGTTCCAATTCGCTTTGAAATAAAAGAGAGTGATACTTTAGCTTGATGCATTTCTGTACGCACCCTATAGCTGAAACTCTTTTAGGCGAATATTGCAGCTCCCGTGCTACCAAAAGACATCGGAACCTTCCTTTCAATATTCCAAATACTCGTTCGATGATTGATCATCCTTTGGCATGGCCATCATTGAACCGGCCTTCCGCTGAGTTTTCGTATGCGTTACAATAGAGAGTTAACATCCATGGTTCCAATGGATATCCTCATTCAACTTAAATAGACTACAATTAAAATAAATTATAGATATTTAAGTATTAATTGCTGCTAACCAAGACTCCATATCCCTCTCACGCCATTGTCAAAATGAGCTTTTAAAGGAATCATGTCATGCACCACCATATCACGCATCAACAGCTCTAACTCTCATCTTGTGGTCACACATCTAAGAATTTTAATTTGCAACCATTTTTTGAAAACCTTTATGATAATGCAATACTTACAACCACTGCATATACATTGAGCTTCAGTTTTCTATTACTACGTTTATACGTAAGCTATTTGCAAATAAAAATAATTTGTTTATCTATTTATTCGATGGTGAAAAATTCGTTTTTAATATTGCCTGATTATAAAAAGGCAATAATATGACCATCGAAAAAGAAAATAAAGTTAAAAATGGCAACGTCTTCATTATAAAATGGTGACCATCGAAAAAGAAAATAAACCTAAGAATGACGGCGTCTTGCGCTTATTTGCAAATAGAACCACCACCAATCAATACTTATTTGCGTGATTTAGTTATTTGCGAATAAAAAATTAACTCAGGGTTTATCCGTATATCCGTCAAAGTTTACCAATTTGCAAATTGTTATTTGCAAATAATACGTGCGTACGCAGTATATTATAGTATAAATGCTCGCTCCTTGTTGGGCTTATCATTTGTATATGTGTGCCATCTATTTCAAACAACACGCCCACACTTTTTTAGAAAAATAATTTCGCCTCAGTTTCCTCTGCGTCCGTACTTGCAAAATTAATGTGTGCACGAAGCGTATTCTCAATGGCTTTGCACACTTCAATGAGGAGGCGTAACATTGACTTCCTTGGCCAATTGGTGTTGGTAACCTCCTCGCCCAATAATTTCAGTGCGGCTGTCAGCTTAATAATTGGCGGAACCTCTGTCGATTTTCGAGGAATGCTTAACTCCGGCGTACAGGCATTTAGTACGTACTGAAACGCCTGCTTTTTTAGACGGAAGTTTTGCGCGAAACTCTAAAGGGATAACTATAAATATATAAAATGTAAATAGTCACAAATAAAGCAATCCTTTTACTATTTACCAGTGAGTGTGAATATATTGGTCTTATCCCAAAGCGCTCTCAATTGCACTCGTCCCGCCACTTGGCCTTCATCTGCTTCCAACCACATCACCACTCAATCCATTCGGTATTTTTTTTATCAAGGAGTTTCAATTTTATTAAATAAATTTAACGCAATAAGTAAGTTTTTAAATGGACAAAGTTCACAATAGTAATGCTAGCATTTTCAATTTCTTGTTTTGATTTTATTTTCTTTCTGTATTTTGCTTTGCGTCTTAAATTTGGCGAACAGTGTTGCTTTCTTTTTTTCGAAAGTTGATTCGAACGAACTATGGAGTACGAATGGGGCTTCGACTCGAATTTGGCTTTCGAATAGTACAACCTTTCGACTCGAACTACAGAGTAAGGTCTATACAACACGCATTTAACCAAATATATTCGGCTCTAAGCTGAATATCGTCAGTAAAAGTGACGATACGCCATCGTCAGCCATGTTACTGACAGCGATCGGACTTCTACCACATTGTGGTAGATCTGCCACTTTTTTAAGCATCTGCCATATCTACCACTCAAGGTCTGAAATCTACCAAATATTCGCGTTTTGCGTATGATAACAAGAATGATATAATACAAGATTCCGCATTCCCGGCGACGATAAAATCTCTCAGGTAAAAGTAAACAAAGCCGAATTGGAGGATAAAATAAACTGTAAAATAGTAAATTTTCTCAGTAATAAATTTTTCGACAGAAAACGTGGTTTATTGTGTTAAATTGCAAAATATATAATTTATAAAAAGAATTAATAGCGAACATGTTAAAAAACAGCGTTTTTTGTGAAAGTATTAGCAAATTTAAGGGCATGTGAAGTTTCTGAGGTGTTGTTTACTTTTACTTAAGAATTGTCAAAATCGGCAAATCCCAATCAGCTGTTTTTGGAACGTGCCACATTTGTTCGCTACTTCGTGGTTTGATAAAAAGAAAAGCTGGCAGCACTCCGCAAGGTTGCAGAATTCTCTTAAAATATGTTCGAAAAATATCTTAACATGGAAGAAACTGCTTTACACTGTCAAGCAAAAAAATTTGCCAAAACTCAACGCAATTTTTAGCAACTTCAATCTTGCACTTTATTATACTAAAATGGATTTTTTTAGAGTCCAATTAAAAAGTTTGCAATTTAGGTGAAACCTTGCAGATTTTTTTTAATTTTTGTGCAAAGTTAGATCCAAACCTAGAGATCTACCACATCTTTTTGAAATCTACCACATTTTTTCCCGATTCTACCACACAGAATTTTTTGAAAGTCCGATCACTGGTTACTGATACGCTGACGATCGTCGACGATGACGATATCCAGCATAGGGCCGATTATTCG